AATTAGCCTTCTGAGCCAATGAGCAAACACATTGTACCATTAGAACACTGGAGTGATAGTCACTGGAAATGGGCCTCTATATACCTATGTAGATATTTCAGCACAAAACAGATATTTGCAGCTAGAATAGTCATTTACCACATTAGCAATGTATAGAGTGTATTTCTTTAAAGTTCAGACTAGTTTAAAGTTATCTTCTTTGAAAAGTACAGTGCTTTTCCTTCAAAAATAAGGACATTTCAATGTGACCCCAAACTTTTCAACTGTAGTATATATATATATATATATATATATTCACCCCTGCCTGGTGAATTGTAAATCTGTTAAACCTGCCTTCTGTATGTCTTATCTCTGTATGTGGGTCAGAAGCCAGAACAAAACCATGACAAAGCAAACTAACTCCATACATGGCTCTTTCTAGGGAAGAAATGTTAAGTATCTGAACCTGGTTTATACTCAGAAACCAGGTCGTCTGCGTGTGTTGCAGTTAACGCAGATATATTCTAGATTAATTCAAAGATTTTAGTCACATTCATTGTTCTGTAGTTTGGTTTTTCTGTAGATCACTGGACACCACCAACTAATAATTTCTACTAAGCAACAGACAAAGCTGATCAGAGATCAGAGAGCTATAGCTAAAAAGATAAAATATAATGATTTTCCTGAAACAATTCTGTGTCAGTATGACTGAGATTTAGGGCTTTGATGGACATTTGACTTCAAGCAGGACAATGACTATTGAAGCAGGACTTATGTGGATTAAAGGAAAACATTTAATGTGTTTAGGATGGCCTAATCAAAGCCAAGACCTTAATGCAATTTCAAATGTGTGTTTAGACTTAATGAATGCTGGAAAAACAATTCAACATGATAGAGCTGGAGTCATTTTAGTTCAAGAAATGATCAAAAAAATCCCAGTGGCAAGATGTGGTAAGCTCAATGAGATTTAACCAAGAGGCTCTACAAATGACCAACGTTTTATTCATTTATCTTTTTAATGATGCAGTTATAATTTTTTCTGTTTCTATCTTTGGTTTTTTTTCCTTCACACACAAACACACAAAGCATCCTTCAGATTGTTGTCATATAAATGGATATAAAGGTATATATAGATATATAAAGGAATTGGTGCCAGCTCTAGCACAATTCAGACAACGAAATATGAAAACAAGAGGAAAACACTTTTTACCACTTTTGGTGTGATAATAATAATCTTTGTTTTTTCCTCACTTGAAACTAAAGAAAATGTGGTTAAATTTAAATCTTGAATCTAATTTAAGCAGCCAGTAAGCATATTTCATTTATAATGTGAACATTTTGCAGAATAAGCTCATTGTTGGCTATGCAATGGCTAATCAACAGCACTTATAATGTCTCTACTTTCTTCCCTTCTCCAACACTGAGGCAGCCTCTACAGT